GTTTCCAGTTAGGTCCATTTCATTTGTGTCTTTATTCTATTGTATTTATTTTTCCTATTGCTTGTAATTATTAAAAATTGTAATTAAGTAATTAAAAATTGTGATATAAGATTTTGGTCATATCACCCACTCGTAGTGAGGACATACCTGGCACTGGCTGAAAAGGTATGGATGTTTTTTCCCAGCAGTCTGTTTGGGGGTCAACCACTGCAGTGCTGTAGCACTAGGAGATGTCTCATATTCGATCTCCACAATCACATGTTGCCCACTGAAACACACAGATCATTTAAATACAAGTTGGGAACAATGAGGAAAAACTTTGCATTGAAATTAACAGGACTGTCAAAGCTGACTTGAGATCTTAAAGTGCCCCTATTATGGGTAATGAAAGGTTCATATTTTGGTTTTGGGAGTCCCCAACAACAGGTTGACATGCATGCAAGGTCAAAAAACACTTTCATTGTCTTATAATATGCATTTATTTTTACCTTACTTGCTCAACAACTCCCAAACGATTCGCTCAGCGATTCATTTTTCCAAACCCCTCCTTTACGTGACGCTAATCTGCGGTGATTGGTTTCATTTTCATTTCATCATGCCTGTGTAATTCCTGATAAAGCAGAGTTTGTGAGCAGTGCTGCTTTGTGTACAGCGTTACCGGGGAAACCGCTATATTTATCGCTTCAAAAGCGGCACCTAGTGGCAAAGAATGAATTTGCATTTTCATTCAGACCAACGCGAAAAGACCAACAAGTGGGCGGGAAATATGCTAATGTTTCATCATGTTGATGTCAACATGAAACGGCTTGGGATTCGTTTTTAAAAACAATTTGTTTAAATGATTCAGAGTCAACTCTTTCTTTTGAGAGACGATAACTTTATACACGGTGCACTTTCAAATTTAAAACTTTGCAGGATGTTTTCATTCCCTTAGAGCTGTGTTACAAACCGCATGAAAGGTAATTTTCAAAAATCCATAATAGGGGCACTTTAAAGCAATTAAAAACGAAGTCGATTACAAAGCCGCTGGCAAATTGCAAATAATAATAATAATAATAATAAATCTATTATATTTTATTTTGATTTCTTTCCTTATAAGAAGTATTAAATTAACTAAAAAAATAATAGTAATTAAAGGAGGAATAGTTCACCCAACAAGGAAAATTTTTCGCTGGAGAAAGCAATATTATGGATAGAAGAAGCAACCAGAAACAACAGGCTTGAAGTTAAACACGGCATGATGATAGATTTGTTTTTTTACAAACACGCATCTTTTCACTTCACAAGATGTTAACTGATGAACTGGAGTTGTGTGGACTCTCATTCTGACGGCACTCTCATTGCGTGGACTCTCATTCTGACGGCACCCATTCACTGCAGTGGATCCAT